GCTGTACCAGGCTGTGGTGGAGGAGCTGCACAGCAGCAGCAGCAGGACAAGAACTGGATCAAAGCCATTCCCTGGCTGTGCCACATCCCAGCCCTCACCTTGACGGCTCCTCCGGCCGGCGAGTGTCCCACGTTGTCCAGAGATCCCACTTTGGCCTGGGCCTTCTCCTTGAAGTTCAGCTTCTGGTTCTCGATTTTGACGTCTCCTCCCCCTGCAGGGACATGGAGCAGGGCTGAGTTTGGGGAAGCCCCCAGCAGTCCCCCCCAGGAGCCCCTGGGGACCTTTGGGAGGAGGGCCAGGCCAATCCAAGTTCTGGAAGAGCACAGTTGGTGCTTTCCAGCCGTGCCACCTACCAGGGCCCTGGGGAATGCTGCACATCCAGACAGGCTGGAGAGATCCTCCCTGGATCTGCTCCTGAGGCTGTCTCCTCCACCAGAGGTGAGAAACGCCACCCCACTGTCCCTCACCGTCCCCCTGCTCCCGTCCCTGCCCCTGCCCAGCCCCTCCAGCTCAGCCACCCGTGCGCTCAGCAGTGCCAGGGCACCTCCTGCCCCTCCGTGGCACTGCCTGCCTCCCCTCCCTACCCCTGCACACACCCCAGGACGCTGCAGGGGAACCTGGAGGGCACAAACCTCCTGCAGAACCTGGAGGGCACAAACCTCCTGCAGAACTTCAGCAAGATTTGCCCAGAGTGGAACAGATTGCAGAATGAGATACAGATAGATACAGATCTAGATCTAGATCTAGATAGACAGAATTAGATATAGATTCCCACAGCTAGAATTAGATATAGATGATACAGCTCTAGATCTAGATCTAGATAGATCTAGAGACAGAATAGAATAGATAGAATTAGATACAGACAGATTCCCATAGATATATACAGATATATAGATATAGATATAGATATAGATATAGATATAGATATAGATAGATATATAGATATATATAGATCTATATCTAGATCTAGATCTAGATATAGATAGATATAATAGATAGAATTAGATATAGATAGAGTCCCATAGATAGATACAGATATATAGATCTAGATCTAGATCTAGATCTAGATAGATATATAGATATAGATATAGATATAGATATAGATATATATTATATAGCTCTAGATCTAGATCTAGATCTAGATAGACATAGATATAGACATATATATATATATATATATATAGATAGATAGATAGATAGATAGATAGATATAATAGATAGAATTAGATATAGATAGATTCCCATTAACCACAGAAGCCAGAATGGGCTGGGTTGGAAAGGATCATCCAGTGCCACCCCTGCCATGGCAGGGACACCTCCCACTGTCCCAGGCTGCTCCAGCCCCAGTGTCCAGCCTGGCCTTGGGCATTGCCAGGGATCCAGAGAGCCACAGCTGCTCTGGGCACCTGTGCCAGGGCTGCCCACCCTGCCAGGGAACAATTCCTAATTCCCAAGATCCCATCTCTCTCTGGCAGTGGGAAGCCATTCCTCTTGTCCTGGCACTCCAGGCCTTTGGAAGTCATCTCTCCCCATCTTTCTTGGCTCCCTTCAGGTCCTGGAAGGCCACAGTGGGGTCACCCCAAATCCTTCTCCTCTCAGGCTGAACAATCCCAGCTCTCTCAGCCTCTCCTCCCAGGGGAGATGCTCCATCCCTCTGATCACAGCGCTGCCTCCTGACTGACAAATAGACAGTGCACAAACCCCCAGACTGGAATCCTGGATCCTAAGGATGATTCCAACCCCCCTGCATGGACAGGGCCACCTTTCCCTGGCTGCAGCTTCTCCAAAGCCCAGCTCAAGTCTGGCTGAGCACAGCTTTGCCTCCCAGCGCCACCATTAAAGCCCCAGGCTCTGGGGAAAACCCGAGGGGTTTGGTGCAGAGCAGCAGCAGCAGCCCGTGCCAGGGTGGCTGTGCCCTCCTCAGGCCTGCACAAGGCCCGACTGTCCCTCCCTGCTGGTTCTGTGCCAGCGCTGAGCTCGCGGGGTCGTGCCCGCGGCAGCGCGTTCCCAGCGCCCGGCGCGGGGGGCTCCTGCAGGAGGGGGGCTCTGCTCCGGCCTGCCAGGCTGGGCAGGGTCCCCCCTGCTCCTGGCCCTCCCGGAGGGGACAAAGAGCAGCCTGTGGGGCTCCTTGCCACCCTGGGCAGGGAGCTGTGTCCCCAGGCACAGGGGCCAGCCAAGGCGCTGACCTGAGCATCCCTCGGGCCTCCAGCCCCAGGAGCTTGGGCTGGGCAGGGCTGGGACCAACCTGGGGCTCCCAGGGCTTCAGGCAGAGCACCTGCTGTGCTCCCTTCCCACACTCATCCCAGACACTTCACCCCAGGGCCACGGGGGTTCCACCTGAGGCAGGAGCTGCCCTGGAATCAAGGCTTAAAGGACCCTGGAATGTGCTCTGAGGAGCTGAAGGGAATTTTCTTTATACTTCCATATTCCGTGAACATCCTGGGATGTTCCAAGTGCCCCAAAGCTCTGTGAGCAAGGGTGAAGCTTCCTGGAATGACTGCGGAAGCATCCTTGTTTTCCTTCTCAAATGAGCAGGAAAAGCAGAATTGAGTCAAAGCTGTGGATTATCTTCACAGGCAAGAGGACAGCCCACATCTCCTAATCCCCCTCTCTGCTCATCAAACCACCAGGAATTGTGGAAGAAGCATTTTTAGGAATTTCCAGAAACGCTGGGGACTTCCTCTGAAAGCAACAAGCCCCTTAAACTATTCCAGTCCCAATCCAGGACTGTGTTTAAGGAACAAAACCTACAGAAAACGAGGGAATGGTAAAATTCCTACCTGGCTTATGCTTGATATTTGCTTTAGAGCCACACTTGGAGGACACCTTGGAAAGGTCGACTTTCTTGTTCTGGATCTGCACCTGGGGAGACAAAAAGCAGCAGCTGAGCACAGAGAAAGCCCTGCAGACTCTGGAGGCCAAAGGCACCTCAGGCTGTGCTCTGTGAGCCTGTGCCCCTGCTCTCCTTCTCCTGCAGATCCCAGGAATCCTGCCTGGCACTCCCAGCCCTGGGCTCACCCAGAGCCAGGGGGCAAAGTGAGGACAGAGCTGAGACAGACAGCAGGACAGAGGGACAGAGCCAGCCCTGGCTGAGCTCAGGCACGGCCATGGGACACAAGCCCTGGAACAGGGACAATAAATGCCAACCCTGCTGCTGCCAGGGTCCCCACACGGCTCCTGGCCAGCCTGGGGCCACCTCACAGAGCCCTGCTGCAGGGCCAGGGCTGTGCCACAGCTCCAGCCTCTGCTCTGCACCACCACATCCAGCAGAGGAGAAGCTCCAGGGAGAGCTCAGAGCCCTGCCAGGGCCTGGAGGGGCTCCAGGAGAGCTGGAGAGGGACTGGGGACAAGGGATGGAGGGACAGGACACAGGGAATGGCTCCCACTGCCAGAGGGCAGGGATGGGTGGGATAATGGGAATTAGGAATTGTTCCCTGGGAGGGTGGAGAGGCCCTGGCACAGGGTGCCCAGAGCAGCTGTGGGTGCCCCTGGATCCCTGGCAGTGCCCAAGGCCAGTCTGGGAGCAGCCTGGGACAGTGGGAGGTGTCCCTGCCATGGCAGGGGTGGCACTGGATGATCCTTAGGGTCCCTCCACTCAAAGCAGATGGGAATTCTCAGAGGGATCGTGGTGCCCAGATGGAATGCACTGCTCCAGGAATCCATCCCTCTCCAGGCCAAGGTGAGAGCAGCTGGAACCTGCAGGCTCAGTTCTGCTCCAGGTCATTCCCAGAGGAAACCCAAGGATTTCCTTTCCAGTGACAGCAATTCCTTGCCCACCAGCTGCTCTGGGAGTTTACTGGGAGCTCTCAGGAGAATCTGCCAGAACTCCTCCTAGGGAAGCAGGGGCTCCCTGTGCCCAGGGGGGAGTCCCAGGATGCTGCCAGGGGCAGCAGGACAGCCCAGCTCAGCCTCCTGCCAGGTCCCATGTCCCCAGCTCAGTGACAAAGCTCACTCACAGACCCTGACTGGATTTTTTCAGGAGTAAAGTTACTACAGCTTTCATCAGCAGTCCTTGCTTGCTCAGAACTGAGATTAAATTTATCTCACAGAATGCACTTGGAAATCCTTCTGTTTGTTACCAGCTGTGACTCCTGACCTGAGATGCAAACTGTCCCACCCTCACTGAAGGGTCTGTTTGTAGGACTTCCAGCAGGAGCTGGGTCTGCACCTTGGCATTGCACTTAGAGAGCCAAACACAGACTCTGGTGCCAGAAATAAACTTTGGGAGTTTGGCTCTTGTTAGCTTTTGTGGCTCTGACCATGTGCCAGTGCAGCCCAAGGACGGGGGAACACAGGGACGCCCCAAATTCCCTTCCCAAACTTCCTTCACCCACAGACATTGCCTGCATTTTGTAAAATCCACCTCTGTTCTGATTCTTGGAACAGAAAACTTGCTCAGAGGTTGGACTCGATGGCCTTGGAGATCTTTTCCAACCTCAGTGGTTCTGAGAGTGGGAAATACTCAGCAAAAAAACCATCCAAACCATTTCCCCAGGAACTGAACCATGCTTGTGTCCAGGTATTTCTGGTGAGCAGCAACAGCAGCTGCTGCTTTTGGGCACAGCTCCTGGGGAATCTTGGCATGGAGAGGAAATGATCTCCTTGGGGAGAGGGCAGAATGGGCACTGAGGGTGCCCTGGGCTGGGGTGGCAGCACAGTGCCCATCCCTGGCAGCGTCCCAGGCCAGGCTGGGCAGGGCTGGGAGCAGCTGGGACAGGGGAAGGTGTCCCTGCCATGGCAGGGGTGGACTCAATCATCTCTAGGGTCCTTTCCAACCCAGACCATTCCATGTCCATCACTTCCACCAGAGCAACCCTAAAGTTCCATCAGGAATTGTTTCTAAACCACGACGCTCTTGTCCACAGGATTCCTAAAAGCCCTAACTGAAGGCACAGACCAGAAGAGACCTTCCAGGCAGACTCACCTGGGAATTCAACACTGGGAATTCTGTCAGAAGTGACCACCACAGCTACCTGAGCAAGAAAACGTCTTGGAAGAGGCCACTCGAATCACAGTGCTCCAAAGGGAGCGGGAAGATACGGAAATGAACAAAATAAAAATAAAAAATGATTTTTTGGGAAGACAGACTGAGCGCTCACATCCACACTGCCTGTGCTGGAGGGCTGGGAATGCTTGCCTGGAGCTGCTCTGGGAGCATTTGGAGCCTGGAAATGAACTTTTGGCTCAGAAAATGCAGGATGAAGAGCTGCTTAAGCAGCTGAGCAAGGAGCAGAACTGCAGTGGTGAAAGGAGAGTGTGGGAGAGGAGAAGAGGAGAAGCAAGCAGGGACACAGGTGTCCCCAGGGCTGGGAATGTAGAGGGAAGGACAGGAGGGTGATTCATGAGCAGAAGGACACTCCACTGACACAGTTAACCAGGCAAGGAAAGATCCCCCACATTCCAACCCATTTCTGGCAGCCTGAAAGAACAGGAAAGGCACCTGGGGGGCTCCTGAAAGGCTGAACAAGGTGAAGGTGGCAAAATGGAAGTGGCTTATAAAATGCAGCTCCTTGGAGTGCATGGACAGGGAAATGCCACCAGCTGCTCCAGAGCTGTCACCAGCGTGGCCAAAGGCACTTCTGCCACCACGTCTGGGACAGGCTGGGGGACAGCAGCAGCAGCAGGAACAGGCAGCAGAACAGAAAGAGAGCTGGAAACCCCCTGAGGGCTCCTCATGCACACCAGGGCTCGAGGCCAGCATTTCCAGGTACCCTGTGGGAGCATTTCCAGGAGAAACACTCCCATCATGGACAAGGTGCAAATCATGGGGACAGCAGAGAGAACCACAAATCCCAAATCCCCAGACAGGAGGGCAGCAGGGATGTGGGAAGGCAGCCTGGAGGGAACCACTTGTTAGGAACCCACGTTTGGTTGCCATTTGCAAAGATTTGTGGAAAAATCAGTCGTGTGGAGGTTCAGCCAGCTGGACATGCATTTCCCAGGAGAAGTGGCCCCAGCTGGCTCCACAGGCAGGTCCTGAGCAGGGTTTGTGTCACTGCACCAGGCTCTGACCAGACACCCCGGGCACCTCACCAGATGTGACAGCTCCTCGGGAACCCAGGGTATTTAAACACCACTGGAACAAACTTCCTTGGGCTCAGGTCCTTCAGTGTGTTGAATCCACCCAAACTTTGCATTCCTGAACCTGTCCTGTGCCATCAGCCCAGGTTTGTCACAGATCTGCCCCACTGAACGAGCCCCCAGACCACGCTTGTGCTCTCCCAGCCTCTAGGTCTGGACAGGGAACCTGGCTTGCCTGGCAGACCCTTGGAGCACCCAACACCCCAAACCAAGCTGCAGACACCACCAGATTAACTTTCTATTTTAATAAGCTCAGCCCTGCTGCCAGAGATACCAGCAGCCTTTAAATTTAGAAATTAATCTCAGCTCAAAGGTTCAGTCCCAGAGTCTTTGCCTGCTCCAAAGTCTCTTTTATGAAACAAGGAGTGAATGAGTGTGGCTCCAGCTGGCCGGGGGAGAGTAACAGGCACTGCCAGGCCATAAGGGATCTGCTCTGGGAAATGCAGGCTCCAGGGAGCTCAGGGGGTGAGGAGGGGCTGAGGGAACCCCCAGGGAGCTCAGTCTCAGCCACGTCCCCAGCCCGAGGCTGCTCACGGCCAGCCCAGGGAGCAGCTGAACACTGAAACAAAAACCAAGGTGCAGCCTGGCAGCCCCAAGAAAAGCAGCAATCCTCCAGGCTGGATGTCTCCAGGAGCCCTGGGCTCCAGCAGAGAGCTGCTGAGGCTGGCACACCCACCAGAGCAGAGAGAAGGAGTTAGCAGACAGACAGCTTGCCCAGACCCATACTTACATTCCCACCTCCAGGGACATGCTTAATATTGTCCTTGGAACCACACTTGGACTGAACATGGCTGTAGTTCGCTTTTTTGGAGACTATCTGGACCTGGAATGTCACAGAATGGAAAACAACACAAGGGAAGAGGACTGGTTAGAGTTGTCATTCTGCAGAGCCCCAGGGGCTCGGGGGCCACCAGGGACCCCGTGGAGCTGGACCCAGTGCTGGGGGAAGCCACCGAGGAGGAGAGTGAGAGAGAGTGAAGGACAGGAGCTGCACAGACAGTGTTAGTGGCAGGCTGGGAGCACCACGGGGACAGCTCCTGGGGACCCTGCAGAGCCCTGGGGTGGGCTGGCATGGGACTGTCCAGGGCCTGGAAACCTCCCTGGAGCAGGGAACCAGCCCAGAGGGTGGGATGGGACTGCCCAGGGCCTGGAAACCTCCTTGGAGCAGGGAGCCAGCCCAGAGAGGTGGGATGGGACTGCCCAGGGTATGAAAACCTCCTTGGAGCAGGGAACCAGACCAGAGAGGTGGGATGGGACTGTCCAGAGCCTGGAAACCTCACTGGAGCAGGGAGCCAGCCCAGAGGGTGGGATGGGACTGTCCAGAGCCTGGAAACCTCCCTGGAGGAGGGAGCCAGCCCAGAGGGTGGGATGGGACTGTCCATGACCCAGGAAAACCTCCCTAGAGCAGGGAACCAGCCCAGAGGGTGGGATGGACTGCCCAGGGCATGAAAACCTCCCTAGAACAGGGAGAGCCAGGTGGGCTGGGACTGTCCATGGCCCTGGAAACCTGGAAACCTCCTTGTAAGAGGGTGAGCCAGCCCAGAGGGTGGGATGGGACTGCTCAGGGCCTGGAAACCTGGAAACCTCCTTGGAGCAGGGAACCAGCCCAGAGGGTGGGATGGGACTGCTCAGGGCCTGGAAACCTCTCTGGAGCAGGGAGAGCCAGGTGGGATGGGACTGCCCATGCCCCAGGAACCTCCTGGGAGGTTTCCAGTGACAGCTGGCCAGAGCAGGGAGAGCCAGGCCTAGGAGCCACCATTCCAGCACGCTGTGAGCTGCTCCATGGCCACACCTGGACTGGCTCCAGCCCTGGATAATGTCCCCCCAAAGCCCTGGGCAGTACAGCTGGGTCTGAGAAAGGTTTTTCTATTGAAGGTGGTCGCAGCTTCAGCTGAATGAGCTCAGATGAGTCTCAGGTTAATGAAATGGTTTCTCCTTCACACTGACTCAGATTTAAGGGCGTGAGAACGTGGCTGGTGGTGGCTTGGCAGTGCTGGGGGATGGCTGGGCTCTGTGATCTCAGAGTCTTCTCCAGCCTCAGTGATTCTGTGATTTTTAAAGGCAAGAGGAGTGGTTTAGGTGAGCTCTACTCACGGCAGTTAACTGGGTTAGACACCAGTGTTTACAAAGGTTAGTTACAACACAGGTTTAGTCTGGAGCTGAGTTATTTACCACAGCACAAGCAGGCCCCAGCTGCATCCTGGCTCCTACAGGAGGTGACAAGCTTGGAGCACAGCAGGGATCACCCAACACTCTCACCTGGGCAGGTTCCCAGAGCCCCTCAGCCAGGTGAAAGGCTGGATTCAGGAACAGCAGCTCTGGGAACATACCTGTGCCATGGAGTGTGGGGAGCTTCACTGCCTCCCTAGAGGTACAAATCCTGTTCACTCCTGACCATTCCTGCCTGACAATATTGGAATTAAACTGTGGCACTCCCACCTCACGCCATCCACTTGTACTTTGGAGTAACCCATCCACTGGTGTGGAGTTACAGAGTTTTGGTACAACTGGGTTGGGAATATGGCAGGAAAGATGTGAATTCCCACATATTCTGCAGTCCTAAAAGCAGCAGCTGTGAACTCAGCCTCTCTGCCTCGTTGCCAACTGGTTCTGTGTGTGAGGAACTGGGTTTAAGGGAAACCCACTGACCCCTGTATTCATCTGGCAGTGAAACAGGAGGACTCTGCTCTGGAAACCCTTCCAGCAGGAGTGGAGAAGGTCCCTGCCTGGAGGAATTTCCCTGGAAGATCTCAGGGTGCACAGGAGAGAAGGGGAAGTGTCTGTGCAAGGAACAGTGCCACTGACAGGAGAGAGCAGGACAGCTGGAGAGGAGGGACAGTGACTCAAAAAATGGAAACGTTTTCCTTCATCTCCCCCAGAGAAAAGTGTGAAAGCAACTCACTTTCCCATTGGGCTGTTTGGGGACCCCCTCTTTTGCTGCCACTTTAGGAGCCACTTTAGTGCCCGCGCTGGGCTCAGAGCTGGGCGCGGCGGCGGCTGACTCTGGCCTTTTCTCTATTTTCCCCTGGATGGAGACAAAGGGATGATTTCAACCAGCAAAAGCAGAAGTGTGGGAGGAGCACGGGAGCACGGATAAACCTGGTGCAGCAGGTGACCCGGGAGAACTCCCTGCACGTTCTCATTCCCAGGCCAAGGAAAACCCCACGCCCAGCAACGGTGACACCAAGGGCACAGCAGTGCCCAGCCCGGGTGCAGTGGGCACCCTGGGGGCACAGAGCAGGGATTCACTTCTCAAAAAGCTCCTGGTGCCTTTCCTCAGGATCCAAGAGACCTCAGGACAACGACCCTGCCAAAAAAATCCAACCAAATCCCTGGGGAGCCCAGCAGCAGTGCAGGACCAGCTCCTTCACGGGGAGGATGCGGTGAGGTCTGGGAGGTGCAGAGCCCCGGGGCTGCCCTGGGGCTCTGAGAGCTCTGCTGGACACACACCCCGAGCTCCCAGCTCAGATTGCCACCCAGCCACACTGCACTCAGCCTTGGAGCCCAACAGCTCCTTTAGTTTTTATCTACCAAAGGGCAGGTGCACCCAGAGGGTCCAGCTGAGCAGAAAATTGAAGGAAAATTCACAGGCTTCATAAAAATTCAGCAACTACCTGCCCGCATTGTTTTGCTAGTTAAGATGCAGGGAAGTGCAGCAGGACCTGCATTTTTTGGGGGTGGCTCAGCATAAATCTTGTATTTCACTAACCTACAGACCAGTGAGCAAAACTCCCCAACACTACAACATTCTCAGACTCTAAAAACAGCTCAGTGTAAACAGGACTACACAAAGGACGATTTGCTTAACAAGGCAATCGTTAGGATTTAATAACTCTATGAAAATATTTAGAAAATCAAGGACAGTGCAATTCAATGCAAATTAAAGTCCCCTGAGCTGACACAAGGAGGGCTGTGCTGTGCTGCTGCACAGCCAGGAGACTGCTGACTCTGAGGATAAATCCATGCTGTATCGATGCTGTCTGGGACACACAACACCCAGCCAGGAGTGCCCTTGACTTTAATGTGCCTGAGAGCAGATTAAAGCTCTCCCAGCATGGAACCTGCTCCCTTGGCAGCAGATTAAAGTTCTGGGCCGGGTTATTCAGCACCAGAGCTGGAGGAAAGAGAATGGAAAGATCTGTGTCCCACTGGGGGGGAATCCCAGCTGCTGACACACGTGGCCAGGCCTAGGCTGGGCTGACACAATCAGGGCTCTGTGGTGGATCCCACCTTTGTCCTTCCCATGGGAGGTGCTGATGGTGGAAGTGCCACCTAAGGGCATTAAGATGCAGTGAGAGCCCCGGGTTTTATCTCTGGCAATGGTTTTCCAGCACTACCCTCTCCTCGTGCCCATCACGGGTGGTCCCACAAGACTCATTTCACGCCAGCTTCGGGGCTGGGCATGGGGAAGGTGGTGTGGAACCCACATCTGCCTCATCCTGGAGCACTAGCCCACCTTCTGCAGCATTGAGCAGGCTCAGCTCCTGGACTCGGGGGCAAAGGGCCGGGATACGGACATGAGTGGGCAGCACACAGGGCGTTCTGTGCCAGGCCCGAGGGTGAGGGCGGGAGGGCAGCAGCGGAGCTCCGGGTCCCTGCGCCGGTGCTGGGGATGGGTCCCTGTGCCCAAGCAGGAGCCAGCGAGGAGCTGGAGCGAGCGGGGAGGACACAGCCACCAGCCCAGCAGCGCAGGCAGGGCAGGCAGGGCAGGGCAGGCTCACCTTGCCCCCGCCGGGCTGGTGCTTGATGTTGTCGGTGGAGCCGATCTTGGAGCGCACGTTGCGGAGGTCGGGCCCGGCGGCGCTGGCCGGGCGCGGCGCTCGGGGGGCGCCGGTGCCGGTGCCGGTGCCGGTGCCGGTGCCGGTGCCGCCTTTGCTGCCCGCGGCCTTGGCCGGGGCTCTCTTGGCGTCCGCCGACACCGTGGAGGCCGCGGCGGCCTTGGGGGCCGTGGCTTTGGCCTTGGTGGAAGGAGCAATGGCGCCGGTCTTGGCGGCACTGCCGGCAGCGCTCTTGGGGCGGCTGGAGTCTGCTGTGGGATGGCAGGGAGCGTGGAGGGAAGGGAGAACAGTTACACAGACTGCCTCGGTCGCACAGCTGGCACCTCAAAGATCAGCTCATCCCACCCCTGCCGTGGCAGGGACACCTAACACTGGCCCAGGCTGCCCCAAGCCCCGTCCAACCCAGCTGGGACAGCCCCGTGCCCAGAGGTGTCCAGGGACCCCTCAGTGACCCCAGCCCCAGACAGAGGGGATTTGATTGAGACTGAGGAAACAGCCTCAGGCTGTGCAAGGACAGGTTCAGGTGGGATACTGGGAATATTCCTTCCTGGACAGGGCTCTCCCAGGACATGGTGGAGTTCCCATCCCTGGAGGGATGTGACATCCATGTGGATGTGGCACCTGGGGACATGGTCAGGGGTGGCTTTGGCAGTGCTGGGGGATGGCTGGGCTCCATGGCCTTGCAGGGTTTCCCGGGAAGCGAAGCGAGCGGTTACCTGTGGGAGACTTTGCAGGGGTTTTCTTGGCATCTGCCGGCTTCGCGTCCGTCTTGATGGCTGCCAAGAGAAACAGCGGCCGGGATGTCAGGGGAGCATCCCCGCAGCCTTCCGGGCTGGGAGCAGCCCAGGGAGTGACAGCTCTGCAGCAGCACCTGGCCGGGGAGCTCCTGCTGGCACAGAACCCCTCGTGTCTGGCAGCCAAAGCCCCCATCCACGCCAAAGGATCCTCGCTGGCTGACACCACACACCTGGGGCCAAGGGCTGCATTTTCCCTCACAGGAACTTCCGAAATCTGGCAGCACTCCCTTGGAGAATTTTAATCCTGCCCCACCCTTTGTTTCTTAAAAAAAAACCCAACCCAGCAACAGAACTCATCCCAAAACATTCCCTTTTTTTAAAAAGGAACAAAAGCAGCCCCACATTTGTCCTTGCCCAACCTTGCTCTCATTGCCAGGCCAGTCCTTCCCCGTGCCAATTTTCTTGCACAGGAGTTACTGCACATATTTTGGCTGCTATTTTAATTGTATAAACCCAAAAATCAATCCCTAAACTGAGCTGCCTTTGGGCAAAGCCCAACGATCATGACCTGATTACACTGCACAGAGGACACTCTAAACCAGGGATGCAGCCACACTTCTCCAAGCAGGAGAAAACCAAACACCAAATTGCTCAAGGCAAAAAACCACGGACTGAAAAATAGACATGAGACTTAATTTTAAAGAACTCTTTGATCATGAAATTGCAGGGTTTTTACTATCAGTGACGAGCACGTTTGGGTAAAATCTGATTCATTTCAACAGCCAAAGGAAGGCAACATTTAAAAGAAATAATACATGGAAAAGACCCAAGTTAGAAATTACGAAAAGCCTCATTTTTTAATATTTAATTTTCATTAAGTCTCAGATTTTTAGATAGACTCCAGCAGCTGTCAGGGTCCTTTATGGAATATCAATACCAAAAAGACCAAGGGGAAGAGGCAGATAACTACAGGCCAAGTTAGTCTGGATCATTCCACCCTGACTTTGCTAAAAGCATTCAATTAAACACCCCAGATAAGATTCCAGCTAATGAGGTGAAACCCATTTGGATAATTTAATAAGGCCTAAAGGATGGATACATAATTAATAGCAAACACTTCAAACAAGGGGCTGGCAAACCAACCTAATTTCATTCCTTGAGACCACAACTTTAACTGGGGGAACTGCACGGACAGAACAGACTTAGGTTTATGTAAAAGGCAGAGGAATATTATGTTACATGAATATACAGAGTTTTTTGTCTGCTGGTGTCGGTGGGGAGCCCAATGCTGAACACTTCTGTCTGCATGACTTCGAGGTGCTGAAAATCCAGACAAAGCCCCTGGGACAATGGCCTGTGTGACAGACTTTGATCTGTGCCTGATCTGAAGGGCTGAACACGGTCTTGTGCAAACATTCAAGTAATTTCCACAGGGAGGGGGACAGAAACTAATGAAGAAACAAAATTGAAAATCAAACCAGCAATCCCCACATAACCCATGGCTCTTCTTTAGCAGAGAGACTGACCTGAAAATACCTGAAAAAGTGAAGCTATATAAAGTCAAACCTGGCCTTTACAGACACATTTCATGTGAGACAATGACTGAAACTTGATGGCAGCTCAAGGCACCGAGTGCCTGGCAGGAGAAAAGCACCAGCAGCTGTCCTCAAAGAGCATCTTCAGCCACAAACACCATCTCCACCCCAAACTTATTCTCTGCCTCAACACTTGTCATGAGAAACTAAATCCATGGAGTAACTATGGTTGGAAAAGCCTTGCCAGACCTTCCAGTAGAACTGTTTCCCACCACTGAGCATGTCCCCAAGTGCCACATCCACGTGGCTCCGAAATCTCTCCGGGGATGGGGACTCCACCTGCTCAGCCCATTCTAAGGCCTGACCACCTTTGCCATGAGGAATATTCCAAATATTCACCCTGAACCTCCCCTGGCCCAGCCTGAGGCTGTTCCCTCTCCTCCTGTCCCTGTTCCCTGGAGCAGAGCCCGGCCCCTTGGTTGTCCCCTCCTGTCAGGAGCTGATCAGAGCTGTGACCCCAGGAGATCTGGGTGTCCCCACCCACATCTCACCCAAACCAAACCAACCAAACCACAGCAAACCCGACCAAACCAAATGAAACAAAACAAAATGAAACCAAACCAAACCAAACCAAACCCAACCAAACCAAACCCAACCCAACCCAACACAACCCAACCAAACCAAACCAAAACAAACACAACCAAACTCAACCCAACCCAACCCAACCCAACACAACCCAACCAAACCAAACACAACCCAACCAAACCAAACCCAACCCTGAGCACTGGGCTCACTGTGGTTCCCTCAAGCCCCCAGGGCACCTTCCACCCTCTGTCCCACCCCTGTTTCCACCTGACCCAGAACAGGACCCCGTGCTCTTCCCATTCCTGCCTTCCCTGTGCATTTCCAGACCCAGATCCAGACTTCTCAGCCTGCCCATGGAGTCCCTCAGCTGACCTCACCCTCCCTCACCCCATGGCCCTGCCTGTGCTCTGGCAGGGTCCCACCACGTTCCTGGTGCCACAGCCCCTTGCCCTGCTCATCCTGCCTCTTGGAACAGCTCCCTGCAGCTCTGCATCGCTGCCTCCATCTCCTTTCAGATGTCAGCAGCAAACACTCCTTTGTTTGTGGCTCAGTTTGGGCAGCAGGAACGAGCCCAGCTCATTAGAACAGATCCCGCATTCCCGGGCTCCTGTTGGCCTCCAAGACCACACAAAATGAATTTTACCAGGCTGCCCACGGGATCAGACAGGAGATGTGGCTCTTGGAATGTGCAACACCTTCTCTACACTTGATTAATTCGATTTTCCCCCAGAGCATAAAGTCTGGGATGTCCATCAGGCTTAATCCATCCCAACACAGCTAAAGCATGACAATTCTTTTGGGAGAGCTGGCATAGGAATCCATGTTTTGGATTCAAACCAGCCTGTGTCACTTTACATTTTTATTGACAAATTTGACAAAAACACTGAGGTCCAGTAATTTGAAAAGACTTGAGAAGACTTAACTATAATCTTATCTGATGTTAAATCTCTCAAGCTCCATTAAAAGGAGTGAGAACAGTGTTAGTTTATCTAAAACACTGCTCGGGTTTCCTGTTGAACTCATGGGAGGATCCCTCTTTAGCAGCAGTCTGGGTGGGACACAGTTTTTGGATGAAGCCGACGTGATTTCAGCGTCAAATTCTTCCTGCTCTACTAAAAAATCCTCCACTTCTGCTCAACCCTTTTGGATTTCACACACCAGTTCAGGTGTTTCAAGTCCTCTTGCAAAGATTTGCTTTCCTGAGGTTTTATTTAGTGTTTATTCTGTTCCTGTGGCAAAGTACAGAGGGAACAGAATACCCATTCTTAAATCAAGTGTGTCCAATAATTGCATTAACCCAAGATCACACACAGCTGATCCAGGCTGGCCCTGAGTGGAATTTGGAAGAGGAAGCCCTGGAGAGAAGAACTGTCAGAATCCAGGCAACGAGGGAGTGGCTTTCCAACACTTCCAGAGGTGGGGACTCCACCAGCTGTGCCAGGGCTGGACAGCCCTTTCCAGGAGGAACATTCCCGATTTCCACCTGAGGCCGTTGCCCTCCTCCCGTCCCGTTCCCTGGCTGTCCCCTCCTGCCAGGAGCTGTGCAGAGCCCCTGGTGCTGCTCAGCCAGGAGCCTGCAGCTGCTGAGGCCAGCCCATCCCGAGGGAAAGGGGGGAGCACTCACAATTCGGCCTCTTGGCAGCAGCGGCCACCGTGGTTTTGGCGGCGGCCGCTGCCGTCACCGGCGACGGCGCCGTGGTGCGCGGAGCGGCAGAGGAGCTCCTGGAGGGAGTCCTGGCGGTGGTGGAGGATGGAGGCTTGGAGAGGGAGGTTCTCTTCTCCGCGGGCTTCGCATCCGCGACCTGGGAAGGAACGGGCGGCGTCACAAGGGAGCGGCGGCGGCGGCACACGGCGCGCTCAGCGTGAGGGGAAGCGCCAGGAGAGCCCAAAGAACGGGAATCGCCGACGTTCCTCGGCACTTAATTAAGCCTGGCGCTGCTGGAAGGTCATAATGCAATTAAAACATCATTAAAGATGGAGCGAGTGATGGTGTGGAGGGCAGGACGCGGAGCACGGACCCTGCGGAGGAGCAGCTCCCGCCCAGGGCTGGCTCAGCTCTGATGTGTGGAGGCCTCTCCAGCTGGGAAGGAGGTTTTGATTTCTGGATAAAATGGAACCATCGGAACACCAGCAATGCTCCTGGGAGAGATTCCCATCCTCCAGGAGCAGCAATGCTCCCTAAGCTGAAATTTGTTTCAACAGTGGGGACCTGGGAATCAGGGGTCCACGGCTCATCCCTCACTTGGAAAACTCTTTCCTGCTGTTCCTGGTCAGGCACTTGTTTGTCAACTGCCTGATCTCTGAGGTATGGAAACACTGGATTAATGCATGGGAATAAATATTATTTTATCAAGAAGGGATTCAGAATGATACAAAAACTTGAACCAATCCAAAGTCACCAGCTCAGAGAAAAGCAGAGATTTACACCTGGGCTTTCATTTGCCTTCTGTTATTTTTAGTTAGTTCTAGAAGACACTAAAATGCTTGAGTGTAACTTGAGCTTAATACAGCAGGAGTGGTGGTGTTCAGCTATCAGTAAAAGCTTCTGAAATAGATTTTGATGATCCCTTTTAAATCTGAATTCTTCTACTCTCTAAGATCACAAGTTAACATAGGAGACATTCAAGGGACACCTCCCATTCCTAACACATGGGGATTCCCTGCTTATGTGGCAGATGCAACATTGTCCATGAATCCTCTCTTTTGGGGAATTACAAATCTCCAGAGTTTTTTAAGTGTTATCAGTCCTCTCTGTGCAGTTCTGCAGTGACCAGCCATCATAAAATGACCACTGGTGGGAAATATGGAGCGTTCACAAGGATTTGTGTTTCTTCAGTATTCGTATCAAAGGTCTCCAATTAGGTTTCCCATGTTCTTGTCTGGATTTAGGAGTTGTTACAGAAAAAATTCCTGGCTGGGAGGGTGGGGAGGGGCTGGGATGGAATTCCCAGAGCAGTTGTGGCTGCCCCTGCATCCCTTGCAGTGCCCAAGGCCAGGCTGGACAGGGCTTGGAGCAGCCTGGGACAGTGGAGGTGCCCCTGCCATGGTTGGGTGGCACTGGGTGGGCTTTGAGGTCCCTCCCAACCCAACCCAGCCTGGGATCCCTGCTTCACGGCAGCTCATCAGCACGATCTCAGCACTACACTCAGCTTTAACTCTCCTCTGTGGTGACACAATTCAGTGCCAGGGACACGATGCCATCCCTGGGAAGCTGCTCCAAGCCCCCTGCAGCTCCCAACACACTGAATCCCACTGGGGATCTCAGCCTAGCACAGGAATTCTGCCCTGCCCCGTGGCTGAGGGCTGGGACTCTGCCCTGCCAGCGAGCCCTGGGTGCTCCCCAGAGCCTGGCACCTCTTACCTTTGGTTTAGTCTCTTTTGGAGTTAGGGTGGAGGGACGGGTGCTGCTGGTGCCGGGGCGTTTGGAGGTGCTGCCCGGAGCAGGAGCTGCAGTTGGGCTCGTGGGCTTTTTGGTTGTGCCCGGGGTGGCCGAGCTCGGCCGCTTGGGGCTGCTGCTGGCCGAGGCCTTGGCCTTCGCCGCCTTGGCAGTGGAGGTGGATGCAGCAGGCTTTAGGGTTGGGCCAAAAAGCAAAATCCAGGAGAAAACCAAAGAAACACAACAGAAAACAGCGCATTGTAAACCAAAACATTGGGCTGCAAACAACAGAAAAGTGATATTTTAAAGGAAGCAAATCATAAGAATAAGAATAGCAATAATAATAAGAAGAATAGTAATAATAAGAAGAATAGTAACAATAATAAATAAATAAATAAATAATAATAATAAGTAGAAGAAGAAGAAGAAGAAGAAGAAGAAGAAGAAGAAGAAGAAGCAGAAGCAGCAGCAGCTTTCTGTTTTCTGAGCGCAACAAAGACCGAAATGCAGCACCTGAGGGGGTTCTGCCATTCAATTCCAAACCAGCAGGATTTATTTCAGCAGCATGGAAAGCAACAGAAGGAATGGCTGGTAAAGCTGGATTAGTAATTGGGTGCTCCTGGCATCCAGGGCTATGTGCAATCCACGGGCCGTGGCTTTCCAATTCTGGGCACGCAGGGATTGCGAGCTCCAAATCCCCATGGGATCAGCTCCCGTGGGTCTTGGGGGGACAGAGCCCCCAACCCTCCTGGGGACACTTGGGGGGCTCTGCTGGGTGCTGGGAGCTCCTGAGAGCACAGCCCCAGAGGCAGAGGGGGCTGAGCAGGGCTCTGCCTGCACAGAAACGTGCTGGGAACAGCTCCCAGAGCATCGCTGAGCACAGGGGTTACTACACGTTTGCTAGGTGTTTACTACAATCACTGCACCAGCCAGGGAAGTCACTGCAATGAAGTTTCCACGCTTTTATCAAAGTTTGCCCGGGCTGGGCCGTTGGCAGCTGTGAAGTGGGATGTGTTTGCTGCAGGTGGCAGCTCAGAAAACAGAACTGGGGCTGGCACGGCTGAGGGAGCAGACAAGCTGGGAAATGAAAGCCCTGGGAGCAGAGATGGGAGCAGGGAACAGCTCCTACCTTGGTCTTCTTCTCAGGGCTGGGTGGGAGCTCCTTGTTGGGAGGAGCTGTGATGTCGTTCCCACTCACGGCCTCGGCTGCTTTGGCCTCCTCTGGCTTGGCTGGGGGAAGGAAAGGACATTTCTAAGTTTAAGCTTTATTATTTTTTTTTTTTAGATATGTTTTTTAGTTTACTGTTATTCACCACAGCAGCAGCAGGAATCAGAACTGACACAGCACAGGCTGGTGTTAGTGGAAAAGTTCCTAAACCCCAGAATACCTGAAGGAAGAAAGATTTTCCCTGCAACAGGACAGGTTCATCCAGATGCTGTTAGATTCCAATTTCTCGTATTATCCCAGTGGGAAAAGCCAGGCAGCAGATGAAGGAAACCTGTGATTTACTTTAAATAGCAAATCTTCTCATTTTTTAAGTTGTTACAGGAAATTGTAAGAACGTTGCACCAAATTGATCAAGGAAAAAAACACTGGGTTTTTGGGGACTGGGGACTTTGATAAAGAAATTGTAGGTGAAGATGAAGGTGAGGTTCTGACCTCTTCCAGGCTTTACACTTATCCTGGAGTGGGGCTCTGTTCCCTGCTATTCCCTATTGTTACAGCTGTTCCTGCTCAACCTTTCTTCTGCCCACATGCACAGCTGGAGCCCTCAGTGGGCAGGGAGGGTTCCCAGGAGCCAAAGGGAGCAACAGGAAAGGTCACACAGGACCCTGGATCCAGCAGCACAAGGATCTGGACCTGCTGAGAGACCCAGAGGAGGCTCCAGAGCTGCTCCAGGGCTGGAGCCAGGCTGGGAGAGCTGGGAATGTTCACCTGGAGAAGCTCCAGGGAGAGCTCACAGCCCTTCCAGGGCCTGAAGGGGCTCCAGGAGAGCTGGAGAGGCACTGGGGACAAGGATGGAGGGACAGGACACAGGGAATGGCTTTAGCTGAAGGAGGGTACATTTGGGTTGTTTATTAACAGGAAATTCTTCCCTGGGAGGCTGGGCAAGTCTGGCACAGGGTGCCCAGAGCAGCTGTGGCTGCCCCTGGATCCCTGGCAGTGCCCCAGGCCAGGCTGGATGGGGCTTGGAGCAGCCTGGCACAGTGGAAGGAGTCCCTGCCATGGCAGGGGTGGGATGGGATGGTCCTTAATGCCTCTCTCCATCCAAACCTCTCCAAGACTCCCAGAGCAGGAAGATGGAGATCCCATTCTGGCACACAGGATCACGCTGACCTCGCTGGAGCTGTGCTACAGCACAGAGCTCAGAGCCAGCTCCAAGAAGTGCCACTTTTCCCTGTGCTTGTTCATTCTGGCCATTGCCACCCGAGCTGTGACACTGGCTGGGGACAGTGAAGACACCCTGAGGGGCTGGAGAGCAGCACCCCCTCCTCATGTCCTCTGGAAAGCCAGAGCCCAAAGCAGTGTCCAGCCCCAGCAGCCCCAGCACCGCCCTCCAACCCAACAAATTGTTCATTTAGAAACAGTTTCCCCAGGTTTTCTCCCCAAATCCCTGAAATCCCACAGCAGCCCTTGGTGCTGCCCAGCACCAGGGGACAAGCAAGCAGCAGCTTCCCTAAAAATCACTTCCAGGCCCTCCTTCCCCAGGGTGCAGCTGCACAACCACACTGCCCTGGGCTGGATCCCGTGCCACGAGCCCAGCATGAATTCCTGCATCTCCTCTGTCATCTGGGGATTCAAATCCAGCCTTATCCGTGTTGGACACTGCTTTTTATAACCCTGCAACAGATTGTGACAAGCCCAGGGTAAGGATTCCAGCAGCAAACAGCCTGTTCTCCACATCTTTTGGAAATTAGTCTCTATTCCCCGTTCTCCTGCTTGTCAGACTTGACAGGAGCGTCCCAGAGGATGGCTCAGTCCTGCTACAAGCCAGGAAAATAAAATCATCCCGTGCCTCCCTCCTACCAGAGTATGGCTTGTTGTTCTTATGTTCTGACTCCAGGGTAAGCTCAGGATAAGCCTTTTCCCCCTGAATTGGTTTAACCCCTTCCTACCCATCTGGCCTGCCAGTTCTGCAGCACTGGGCTGAGCATCCTGGGCACCACGCAAGAGCCTTGTGAAGGAAAACCAGCAAAATGTAGAGGCTGCTTTAATGCAAAATCCTTAGGAATTGTGTCCGTTCACCTGGAAAACCCGTTGGTATTGCAGCTGGTGTGTATTGGCTCCTCTCTCTACCTGATTGCTCCCCTGCATTTCAAGAATGCTTTCTCTTCTCCTCGTTTCACAGTTCCATCCACAGCAATGCCAGCAGCAGCAGTTGTCAGCAGCTCCCTCTCCTGAAAAACAGCCTCCTGCCCATTCCCTTCCCAGTGCTTCCCTGCTTCCTCTGGAGCCCTGCCAGTCTCAAATATCCCCCACATCAAGGTGACTTCCCAGCTGCTGGAAGCTGCTGTCATTAATTATTCCAGCTAATTCAGCAGCAACATTAAACCTCTGGCTGATGAGGGGCTGCAGCACCCACGACAAGAATTCCCAGGATCAGGGAGTGCTCCTCAAATCCTACAACACCCAAATGTTCAGGATCTGAACTCCAGCAGCTTCCACGTGTCTGAACCAATGACAACATGAATTTCATGTTATTTCATTTTGCTTAATAGAAGGTGAATAAAAAACACGACAGGACAAGGGGAATGGCTTGCCACTGCCAGAGGGCAGGGTCAGATGGGAGATTGGGAATTAGGAATTGTTCCCTGGGAGGGTGGGGAGGGGCTGGGATGGAATTCCCAGAGCAGCTGAGGCTGCCCCTGGATCCCTGGCAGTGCCCAAGGCCATGGCAGGGGTGGCACTGGATGGGCTTTAAAGTCCCTCCAAATGAAACCATTGCATGATTCTATTATTATTATTATTATTATTATTATTATTATTATTATTATTATTAATCCAGGGGAACTGGGTAAAAACCTTCCCTACTTATAACTCAGGCTCCATCTCTCACAGACTCTGACATTCCAGGATACACAACCCTGCACCATCCCCCAGGGATTACAGAAGGAGAGGTTTGGGGTTTAATATTCATTTGTCCTGTGCTCATCAGGACATTTGCCCTCATTCATGGTTTAATTACGAGGGTGTTCTCAGAGCAGAGAACTGGGACCATTTCCTAGTTACAGGGAATATTAGGAAAAGCTGCCAAACCTTAATCAAATTTGTTCATTAGGCTGCAAGAATGATTTAGGAGACTTTTGAGTTTGCTTGCTCCCCCAAGCACAGCCAGAACCCCCTGGAAGATATTTGAAAAGCATTTTTTGTTGGAGCTGCTGTGCCCCGAGCTGGCTCCTGGTGCTGCTCACCCGGCTGAGTCAGCAGCACCACGGGACATCCCCAGGGAAAGGGGCTTCAAGGAGCCAGGGAAGGACATTCCCAGCTGGAATCTTCCATGGATCCCTCCCAGGCACAGCCCTGCCATCAGCAGCTTTCTCTCCACACTGCTGGCAGGGCTGGCAGTGCCTCCAGCCTCATCCCCTGTTCTTACCACTCCTGTTCCTGATGGTGAAAATCACACATCCCAAAATTACACTGCTGGCATGTCCCAGCAGTTCCCAAGAGCCTAGCTCTGCAAGAAATGATCCCTGCCATTATTCCTATCATGATTCCTATCAAGAAATCATTCCTATCACTGTTCAGGCCCTGGCACAGGGTGCCCAGAGCTGCTGTGGGTGCCCCTGGATCCCTGGCAGTGCCCAAGGCCAGGCTGGGAGCAGCCTGGGTGATTGGATTGCCTTTAAGGTCCCTCCCAACCCAAAGCAGCCTGGAATTGTGTATTTAAGTGCACCAGTGAGAACAAATGACTCCACAAACTGAACCTACCAACTCCAGCATTTGCTTTGGGGTTCTACAGGCACCAGTGAGGAAGGAGCAAACTCCTAAGTGGCCTTGTGTAACCTGCAACAGCAACACCAAGAGTCCTCCAGAGACACCCGTGGGCTCAAACTCTGCAGCATTGCCAGCAACAGCCCCCAGCAGTGTCTGAGCTGTGCTGGTGGAGCCCCAGGCTGTGGCCAGCTCCATGGCCAGCTCCATGGCCAGCTCCATGGCCAGCTCCATGGCCAGCTCCATGGCCAGCCCCAAGCCCTTCCCAGCCCACAGCAGCTCCCCAGGCTCCTGGAGCTGAGCACACCAAAGCCCCAGCAGCTGGAGGGGGCACACACTGGGTTTATCCCACGTGGATCCATCCACTTGGGAGTGCTCGGTGCAGTGTGAGCCCAAAGCACCAAAAGCACGTCTGGCAAAGCCCCACTAAAGTTTAAAAGCCTGATTTTAAAATAAATTTGTCTCCAGAAACCGGGTACTTGTTATGGTTGGATGAAGGTCCCAGTGAACAACACCACGTGGGGTTTGGACAGAACTGGACTCGGAGGGAACAAGACTCAGAATAAATCAGCAGTGGTGATTTTTCAGAATAAATAGTAATAATGAGATGATCTGTGCCAAAACGACACCCAGGAAAGCAAGATGGAACTCCTTGTGCTAAAAGCCAATAACAGCCTCCCTACAGATCTGCAAAATGGGAAGTGTAAGTCTCAGGCTTGCCCTGATGCAGCAGAGTGAGCCACCAAAGCCCACCAGTGAGGGATCTCACCAGAGCCAAGTGACACACACGGAGCGGGGACAGCCCTGCAGGGACCCTCAGCCCGCCTGGGGTGGTGGCAGCCACCTGGAATGGGAACTCTGGGGCCTGAGGAGACTCTGAACGTGTTTTATCCTCCAGCTCCCCCTCCTCTACTCGCTGCCCCTCTCCTGGTGGCTCCTCCCTGCAGCTGAGGAACCTCTGGAGGAGATAAAGCCTGGCAGAACACAGCCCAGTGGGCGAGGCAATGGCTCTGAGAGCCTTCTTCCCCAAAAACCAGAGAGAGGATCAGCTCCTTCATCAGCTGGGAAGGCCAAAGGTGCCCCCAAGGCTCATCACGGAGCAGCCTGCCCCTTATTTCCCCAAATCTTGCCAGTTTGGACACCGAGTGTCTCTCCGAGGGTTCCTGGCCAGCAGCTCAGCAGAACATCCCGAGGAGCTCTGAGCACATCCTGCCAGTCAGCCAAGGCACTGCTGGGGCTGGAAAAGCCTCTCAGACCAGGGAGCCCCAGTGCCCCCAGCACTGCCCCCAGCACTGCC